GATTCCACTTATAGGTGAAATCATATAGTATTTGTCTTTCACCAACTGGCTTATTTCGCTTAGCATATTATTCTCCAGTTTCTTCCATGTTGTTGCAAAAGGTAGGAGTTCCTTCTTTCTTTCAGTTTTTTAAATGCAGATTGATTTTATTAATTTTTTAAATGTCAAAATCCATTATAAAATATTAAAAAATTTAAATCCATTATAAAGTCTCAGCAATTAAAACAACATGACACCAGCACAGGAAAATCAAGTAGGTCAATGAAATATAATGGGCATTCTAGAAACAAACATATGTATCTGTCTAACATTGTAATATATGATTAAATTGATATTTCAAATCAATGGGGAAAATAAGGCTTATTTAACAAATAAGGTGCATGGACCACTATTACTTGAAATGAAACAAATATAGAGTCCTATTTCCCACATTATACAAAAAATATTCAGGTGAGTTAAAAATAAATGTGTAAAATCTAAGGAGTTATAGAAGAAAATACAAAATAATATTTTTCTTACCCTGAAGTAAAATATTCAAACCCAGAAGCTATAAAGTAAAATACTGACAATATGACTATGTTAAATATTTAACACTATACAGTAATATACATATAAAAAAAGTTAAAGGACAAGTAATAGAATAGGAAAGTACTTGCAACACATCTAAAAAAGGGTTAATAGTTTGTATTTTTAGAGAAGAAATTCTACAAACATTTAATCAAATAAAGGATACCAAAAAGTCATTTAAAGCTTTTAAAAATAATAGAAATAGGCAAGAAATATACAAAAACAGGTTTAGTTTCAACAAATGATAAAGGAACAATTAAAATAACAGCATTGTCACAATCAGATTAATAAGTATTAAAAATATTGGTAGTATCAAGTATTGGTGACTGTGAAAGGAACTGGGTATTCATAGGCTCTTTTTCTTCATCTTCTTAAAACAGTCCCTTTAGCATATTTTGAAATGATGCTTTGGTGGAGGTGTACTCTTTTAGCTTTCTTTTGTCTGGGAAACTCCTTATTTCACCTTCCATTTTAATTGAGAGCCTTGCTGGGTAGAGCAGTCTTGGTTGCAGGCCTTTGTCTTTCATTACTTGGAATATTTGTTGCCATTCCCTTCTGGCTTGTAGTGTTTCTGTTGAGAAGTCAGCTGCTAGCCGTATCAAGGCTCCCTTGTATGTTACTGCCTATTTCTCCCTTGCTGCCTTTAGGATTCTCTCTTTGTCTTTAATATATGCTATTTTAATTGTGATGTGTCTTGGAGTGGGTCTCACTGGATTGTTCTTGAATGGGACCCTCTGTGCTTCCTGGACTTGTGTGGCTTTTACTCTCCTCCAACTAGGGAAGTTTTCCATCATTACTTTTTCAAACAGGTTTTCTATCCCTTGCTCTTCTTCTTCTTCTGGTATCCCTATTATACAGGTATTATTACATTTCAGGTTATATGGATATTATACGGATATTATTACATTTCAGCTTGTCCTGCATTTCCCTAAATGTCTCTTCATTCTTTCTGAGTCTTTTTTCATTTTCTTGCTCTCTCTGGGAGCTTTTTTCTACCATGTCCTCCAGCTCCATGATTTGATCCTCTGCTTCAGTTATCCTGCTTTTGATTCCTTCTACTGTATTCTTCAATTCAGAAATTGTATTCTTCATTTCTTCTTGTCTCTTGTTGATAACTTCTATGTCCCTTTTCATGCTAATATAGTTTGCAGTAAGATCCTCATAGTTTCTCTGTAGATTTTGGTAATTCTCTCTGAGCTCACTGAGCTTCCTTAGAACCATTGTTTTGAACTCAATATCTGATAGTTTACTTGCTCTATTCATTTAGTTCTCTTTCTGGAGATTCCTCCTTTCCCTTTGATTGGGGGTTGGTATTTCTTTGTCTTCCCATTATTTGTGAGACTCTTCTTTTTTGCTTCTGCTTCTTAAATTAATCCATCTTGATTTCCTGACTTTGTGGTGTGAACTTCTATTGTAGGAGATTGCTCTTTTTTTCTTTCTGGATCTGCCTCTGATGATATCAGATGTTGACCCTGTCTGACCTTAGGCAGTCTGCTTGAGACTTCCAGGAATCTACTGACTGTGGCTGTCTCCTTCAGCTGTTAATCTAGCCACTGTGCATTCAGCAGGCTGGCTTAGACACCACAGGGCGGGGCAGAGTCCCTCCTGGGGACAGGGTTATTGGGTCCTCTCACACTGCTGCTGCTCAGGAGAGTGGTCCGCCCAAGCAAGATGGCTGCTGCCGTATGGGGGAGGAGACAGCACCAGGGTCCCACCAGCTACTCTCTCTGTTCTCTCCCCAAAGCCTCAGTCTCCAGTCCCTCGTCAAGTGTCTCTAGACCACTCTGCACCCCCTTCAGCCAGGGACCTACTATCTGTGGCTGCCACTCTGTGCTCAGCAGTCAGGCTTTAACACTAACGGGGCCAAGGCCAAGACTCTCCTAGGGGTGGGGCAATTGTGTCCTCTCACATTGTTGCCACTCAGGGGGAGTAGTCTCTGCCTGAGCAAGATGCCTGCTGCTGTATGGGGGGTCAGTCAGCACCGGCATCCCGCTGGCTACTCTCTCAGTTCTCTCCCCAAAGTCTCTTTCCCCAGTCTCTCCTCAGGTGTCTCTAGCCAACTCTGCCTCCACCTTTGCCAGAGACCAGGGTAAGTAACTGCGAACAAAAATTTATGCATTGGCCCTTTAAATGGCTCTTTGCGTCTCCAGCCGCCTGTCTCTGGCAGAGAGCAATCCTGCCGCTTTTCACAGCTGGTTGTTATCTATGCACTTTTTGGGCCCTGGAGCTGCACACTGGAGATCCCCGCTTATGGTTTAGACCTCGCTCTTCTCAGGGGGATCCAACTGGCCATTTCAATATCTGGTGCTGCCACCCGTGGGCTCCCTGCCCACCTTCTTGAGTCTCTACTGAACTCCTTACCAGTTTAGTTGTGCTAAAGCTGATTCTTCTATCTGTCTGAGGTTATAAGGCTCCTCTCTCACTATTGTTCAGATGTTTGTTTCAGATGGTTTTTCCACAATTTAGTAGTAATTCCAGATTGATCCTAGGAGGAGGTCATGTGACTTCCACTCACTCCTCCACCATCTTGATTCTCTATTTGACAGAATTTCTAAAGCAGTTGTAAGTAGTATCTTCACCATACTTCTGATATGAATGCAAATAAATGTTTTTAGTTTCACCCTGGTAAATCTATGGTGGCTGCTGAGTTTCATATAGATGTTCCTTATTGTGTTATTGAAATATTATATAGCTTGTATTTTAGTAAGTTTTTTTTTTTAATCAGGAACACAAGCTGGATGTTAATACAATGTCTTTTTAGAAAATATAAAGATGATTATATACTTTATCCATACATATTAATGGGTTAAATTTTATTAACAGATTTTAACATAGCAAACCATTCTTGTATTCTAGAATAACACCTACATGGTAGTACTAAATTACTTTCTTAAAACACTTTGGATTTGACTTGCTAAATCTTTATTTATTTTGTTTTTTTATCCATAATTGTGACATTTGTTTGTAGTTTGCTCTTTTGTGCTACTTTTTTCTGGTTTTTGTATCAAAATGAAGCTAGGTGAAATCATCTAGTTTTCTGTAGGCCAATGTTCCCACTAAGCACTAGGAAAGGCAGATTTTTTAAAACTTAGAAAAAACATAAATTTTAAGGCACCAGAAGACTGTAAAGCAATAAAGACTAAAGGGAATAAAAGTGCAAAGATGGCAAATCTTTCAAAGGTGAGCTGAGGACCTGCGGCTCTCCCTGGAAGCATATGCCAAACCTTGGCATTGGAACAGACTGTGAATCGGGTTAGGTCCAGGTAGAGAACAGCTACTGGGGTGAAAAAAAATCACTGAATTGCTGTTGCTTCTGTTTTAAAGCTGAAATGCCAAAATTGCAGATTTGAGGGCCAGTTTTCTTCCTGATATTTTCTGAAATCTAAAGCTACGGAACTGAAAAAAATAAAGGCTTAAGCCAAAACCTCTGAAAAGAGAAGTAAGATTTCCCACTCTCAGTGTTTCAGAGGAAAAGACTCATTGGTGGGAGGATTCATGAGAATCTCAGGTAGGAGCTGAAAGCTTCTGAGGAGCGGTGAACCGACAGTGACAGTCACCAACCACTTCCATTCCATTAGTCAATTATTGATCTGAGTAAGACAGGAGGAGGCTGAAGTGATAAGGTTTCTCTGAAAAGTAGAAATTTCTATAATCCTTTTAGCAGTGAAGAGATAATGACCCACCAGGCTCTCATTAAAAACCCTGAAGAACTTTGTTCTATCAACAGGGGCAAACCAAAGATACATACAACTGCAGCCCAAGCCTGACCCAAATCATTCCATGATTAGATTAAGGTGATGAGGCTGAAACCACAACTCACCCACAGGTTCTACCTACTTAGTAAGCAAAAGTAAACCAAAGCTGGTGGGAGATGATACCACCAGGAACCTCTACATAAGCAGTACCACATTACTCAAGAATAAAAGGAATCAGAAACAAATCCATCAATATGTTGATGAAGTAGATATTAGTATTAATAAACAATGGCTTTAAGATGACTGTGATTTTATGCTCTAGGAACTAGAGAAAAGATAGACAAATTAAATAAAAATATGGAGAATTTTACAAGAAAACTTGAGGTTATAAAAAAATAAATGGACATTCCAGAATTAAAAAATACATACCTGTAATTTTAACTCCTAAGTTTCTCTTCTACTTCTACCAAGGCTTTCATTGTATATTTGTACTAATTACCCTTAAGTCAGAAGGAATATAAGCAGGTATAATATTAGGGAGCATCTTCAGGATAAACAAAATGCAAAGGTAAATGAAAAAATAATGAGGTCTCTAAATGTTGTTAAGGGATGATTATTATAATGTGAGCTTTTATATCCTGAAGCACATCCAGAAACAAGCAAACGTACTTCACCAAACTAAATTTTAAGAGAACCTTTTTCTATATGATGGACAAAGTAAAAGTAACTGTCACTTACAGGAAGGTGTGTGAATACAGCAAAGGTGCTACGTAGAAAAGCAATGAGGTCTACTAGGTAGTCACTAGCTTTGTTGCCCAAATCTCCTGTCATCCAGTCATAGTCAGCCAACTGTAGAAACTGGTCAATCTTCTGATTTAAATTGGTATAAATCTCTTCTTCAGCTGCATGTCTGGCATCCTGTGAAATATGAAATTTTAAAAATCATTCAGACTTCTAATATAAGCATAACAGAAATTTCTGCTTGGAAACATCTCACACATACCCACTAAATAACATAACTGGGAATATTAAGTAATACCATAGTTTTCATAAATTTTTCTCTTTTCAAAATCACAATGGAGTATTTTCTATTTTGTGTCTACAAGACAAGCTATTATTTTGTTTCACCAAATAAAGAAACTGGCACTGTCCTCAGCTATCTGCATCCTTTTATATGTTGTTTCTCTCTGCTCAAAATTACACTCACTCTCAGGATCCTAGCCCCTCTCATCTCTTCTGGGACTCCAAGAAACTCCCTTCCTATAATGCCACTCTCTTTATCTCTCTTAGACTCATCACTTTGTTTATCTTAAGTATCCCAAAGTTTTGACTTAACACTACATAGTCCCACAAGTTACGGCCCTACCTTTCTAGCTGTGATTGAGCTTCTTCAAAAGTTGGTATATTCCAACGTTTCCTAAATTGTGGTATAAGTAGCACCAGTCCTGAAAATGATTACACAACAGCAAAAGACTTCTAAATCAAGTTAGTTTAAGAAACCCTGTTAAAAGAAACTTTCTATGTACTCTAGCACATAAAAGACTCTAAGAAATGTTATGGGACTAATGTACCAATAAAACTATTTTCAAGACAGAAGGGTCTACATTGCACCAGGATAATAACAATGCTAACAATCTATCACCATGGAGTGGTCCAGGATAACCCAGGACCTCCATGCTACCACATCCAATACTCATTTTTCAGTCTGATCTTACTTAATCACTGCAAAACATTCTCAGCTGGAACTGTGTTCTCCTTTGGCTATCATGACATGGTTTTCTCCTGGTTTTCTTTTTACCTTTCTAGCCTCTAATCCTCTCACTTTTGCTAGGTGATTTCACCAACTCCTATGGCTCCCATTATCTGCATCCAAACCCAATCATATTAAAACTCACATATCTGATTGCTTCCTGGGTATTACAATCCACAGAAACTTTGGACACAGTAAGTCCAGGATTAGACTGATCATAATTCTTACGCTTCACCTGTTCAATTCAGTCCAAGGCCGAGACCTAATCAGCATATTGGATTCCATTCATTCCTTCAGTCAGACACTTTGTCCTAAATTTCTCTCTAATTCCTACCCTCCTTACCACTTTCACCTTTTAATGGCTACACATTTCGCAATGTATTTACATATTATAATACAGGCATTTATTATATTTACTTATATGAACAGTGTTTCCATGGACACTTCTGTGCTGAGATGTTTACATACATATAATAATGTACAAGAATAATTATTGACTTGTATGATAATCAACTGTCCTGGAATTTCCCTTTCTCTAAGTGTTTTCTTTTCATTAATAAATATTACATTTTAGAAACTTAGGCTTTAAGAAAAATTGAGCAGAAAGTAACAGACCATTCACATTTACTGCCCTCCCATCCTCCTTCCACTGTTTCCCCTATTAAAACATGCATTCGTGTGTTTTAATCAATTAGTTGTTACAAATTGATGAACGAATATTGATAACTGATTAGTAACTAAAGTCCATAGTTCGAATTAGAGTTTATTCTGTATTGAACAGTTCTACAGACACTAAAAAATGCAGAATGTCATCTATTCACCATACAGTATCTTACCGAAAAGTTTCCCTGCCCTAAAAATCCACTCAGCTCTATCTATTCATCCCTCCCTGCCTCATTCCCTGAATCCTGCCAACCAGTGATCTTTCTACTTTCTCTATAACTTTGCCTTTTCCACAGTGTCATATGCTTGGAATCAAACAGTATAATGTAAGATTGAATAGAATGTTGAGTAGAAGTAGCTTTTCTGATTGGCTTCTTTTATTTAGCAAAGTGCATTTAAGCTTCTTCTAGGTCTTTTCATGGCTTGATAGTTCATTCCTCTTCATAATAATAATATTCCATGGTCTGGATGCATCACAGTTTGTTTATTCATTCATCTATTGAAGTACATTATGGTAGCTTCCAAGCTTTTGGCAATTATGAGTAAAATTTATCTAAGCATTCATGTGTAAGTTGCTGTGTGGCTTAAGTTTTCAACTCAGTTGGATTATACCAAGAAGCCTGACTGGTGCACTGCATGGTAAGACTATGTTTAACCTGGTAAGAAACTGACAAACTGTCTTCCAAAATGGCATTAACATTTTGCATTAGCACCAGCAATGAATGAGAGCTGCTGTTGCTCTAGCATTTGATGTTGTCAGTCACTGTAATAGTGTGTAGTGGTATCTCATTTTTGTTTCAATTTAAAATTCCCTCACCATTCTTTGCTGAAATGTGTGTTCAGATCTTGTGCCCATTTTTAAACTAGGTTGTTTGTTTACTTGTTGTTGAATTTGAGCAGTTCTCTGTATGTTTTGGATGTAAATACTTTATTAGATATGCATTTTACAAATATTTTCTCCCAGTCTGTGGCTTGTCTTTTCATTCTCTTAAGTGTCTTTCCCAAAGCAAATGTTTTCATTTTAATTAAATCCAACTTAATATTATCTTTGATAAATTACGTTTTTGGTATCTTAGATAAAAATGTCATAGCCAAATAGACGGTCACTGAGATTTTCCCTTATGTTATTTTCTAGGCAGTTTATAGTTTTGTGTTTCCATGTAAGTCTGTGATCCATTTTTAATTAATTTTTGTGAAAAGTATATGATCTGTGTCTCAATTCATTTTTTTTTCTTTTTTGCATGTGTGTAGATGTCCCAACACCACTTATTAGAAAGACTCCTTTCTCCATTAAATTGACTTTATTCATTCTCAATAGTCAGTTTACTCTATTTGTGTGGCTTTATTTCTGGGCTCCCTATTCTGTTCCTTTGATCTATTTATCTATTCTTTGGCCAATACCACAGGCCCTTGATTACTGTAACTTCATAGTAAGTCTTGAATTCAGCTCGTGTCAGTCCTCCAATGTTCTTTTTTCTCCCTTCTCTATTGTATTGGCTCTTCTGGGTGTTTTCTTTCTCCATACAAACTTCAGACTCAATTTGTCAATATACACAAATTGACTTGCTGGGATTTAAACTGTGATTATGTTAAATCCATAGATCAAATTGGGAAGTACTGATACCTTAATAATATATTGAGTGCTCCTATACATAGTTAATTTAGATCATTCTTTCTTTTCATCATAATTTTATAGGTTTTCTCATATAAACCTTGTTTATTTTGCTAGAGTTATGCCTATTTCTCTTTTTTTGTTAATGTAAATGATATTGTGTCTTCAATGACAAATTCCAGTTGTTTGTTACTAGTTTAATAAGACAGCAAATGACTTTTGTATATGAATCTTGTGTCCTCAATCTTTCTATCCCTTGCTATCCACTTATTAGTCCTGGTAGAATACTTTGTTTTCTGTGTTGTTATTTTTAATCCTATTACATTTTTAATGTAGACAATCATGTGATCTGAAAACAAAGTCAGTTTTATTTCTACCTTCTCAACCTGTAAATCTTTAATTTCCTGCATTATTGGATGTTGAACAAAAGTGGCAGAGGGAATCCCTTCCTCCATCCTGATTTTAACAGGAAAGCATCTACTTTCTCACCATCACGCATGAAGTTAGCTGTAAAACTTCCAAAGATGTTCTTTATCAAATTTAGGAAATTCCCCCTCTTTTTTTTTTTTTTGCCGAAAGGTTTTATCATGAATAGGTGTTAAATATTATCAAATGCTTTTTCTGCATCTACTGAAATGATTGCGTATTTTCTTCTTTAGTCTGTTAATGTAATTGTTATATTAATTAATTTCTGAACGGTGAATGAGCCTTGAAGACCTGAAACGAATCCTACATGGTTGTAGTGTACAGATGACCCTTGAACTGTTCAGGTCCACTTGTATGTAGATTTTTTCAATAAATACTAGAAATATATTTTCTTTTTCTTATGATTGTAATAACATTTTCTTTTTTCTAGCTTACTTCATTATAAGAATACAGTATATAATACATTTAACATATAAAATATGTTAATTGGCTATATATTTCATCAGTAAGGTTTCTGGTCAATTGTAGGCTATTAGCTGTCAAATTTTTGGTGAGTTAAAAGTTGTAACACAGATTTTTGACTATCCAGGGGGGTGGCACCCAATTGTCCAAGGATCAACTGTGTATTCTTCTGATACATGTTTGGATTTGTTAATATTTTGTTGAGTATTCTTGCATCTATGTTCCTAAGAGATATTGTTTTACAGGTTTCCTTTCCTGAAATGTTGGGATAATATCAGGTTAATTCTGACCTCACACAATGAGTTAGAAAGTATTCCTTCTTCTACTTTCTGGAAAACATTGTAAAGAAGCAGTGTAATTTCTTCCTTAAATATTTGGTAGAATTTTTTTCAGCTGTATTGAGGTTCTATTGACAAAACTGTATGATATTTAAAATGTACAATGAAATGACTAGATATAGGTATACATTGTAACAGGATTTCCCACATCAAGTTAATTGAAACATCCATCACCCCACATATATTCACTACCAAAGTATGGGTACAGAGTTGTTCACAATATTCCTTTATTACTCTTTTAATGTCCATGGAATCAGTAGAGATGACTCCTCTTTCATTTATAATATTAGTAATTGTGTCTTCTTTTACTCTTAGATTGGCCCAAGATTTAATTTTATTGCTCTTTTAAGAACCAGCATTTGATTTCACCAATTTTCTCTTTTGATTTTGCATTTTCACTAATTTCTGTCCTAATTTTTATTTCTTTTTAATGATTACTTTGGATTTGATTTGCTCTATTTTCTAGCGTACTAAGGTAGAAGCTTCGATTAATTTTATAAGAAACTTATTATTTCAAATACATGCAATTAATGCTAAGCATTTCCCTCTAAGCTCTGCTTTCACTAAGCCACAAATTTTGAAAAGTTGTGTTTTATTTTCATTTAATTCGAAATACTTTTAAATTTCTCTTGAGTCTTTTACTTTAATTCATGTGTTACTCTGAAGT